GTGTCGGGGTCCCGGGTCCCGGCCCCAGAGCCGGCCGGGCCTCTCGGCATCTGGGCGGGCGAGGTTGTAAACATTTCCGGCCCCTCCCACTGCGCGCCGCCTCCTGGGCGGCCTCCGAGGCTGCCTAGTGCGGTGGGCTGCTGACACTTGATTCTCAGCGGTGCTGGTGAGTGCCGTGCCCTCAGCCCCGCGGGGGTTGGAGCGGACAGTGAGAGCTAAGCCTAATTCCAAGGCCTCCGCCGCGTGGGGAGGTGGGCTGCTGGCCCAGGTCGCAGAACCGCCTCTCAGCAGGGAACGCCGGCCCCAAGGGCCGGGGAAGCCCTGAGGTTACTCGACCAATGGTCTTTGGCAGTTCAGACCGTGACAGTGCGCCCACCTGGATGGGGGCGGAGAGGAGGTTGCTGGACACTCTACGGTGTTAAGGTAATCCTGAAGGCTGAAATGTGGGCAAAAGATGAACGTTAGGGACGATTTCATTCCCTCGGACATCTAGGATTGATGTATGCTGTCTTTTGTCTGGGAATTTTGATCTTCAAGCTTTTGGTTTTAAGAAGATAAAGTAGATAAATACTTTCCCCCGGTTTCTGGTGCTTCATGGGAGAATGGGAAACTGACAAGGCCAATTTCAGTTTACATAGTTTCAGATGTTAAAGGAGCAATGGAGGCCACGGTACTTCACCAGATTAATCATAGTATTTCCCTCAAGTATTTAGAAGACGGGCTAGAAAACACTGCAGAGAATATATAGGCTGTTGCTTTCGATCAAATGACTATAATGACTGGTTCTTTTTTGAAATGAACCAATAGTGGAGTCTGTTCACTGCTTTTCTCTTTTGATAGTGGTTGGGTAGGCTATGATGTTGCAACTGCTGTTGCTGAGGTTTTATGGTATCTTTACACTGCCAGGAATTTAGATAGGGTGGCGCTAAATAGATTGCAATGTCAGGGTTTCCAGCTTGCAGCCACTAAATTTCTTAATTCTAGGAGTAACTTCTATGTACTGTGTTGTCATGGGTACTAGGGCAATCAATCTTAAAAACTGACGTTATCTGTGAAGGTGCAGCTTAGAGTAGACCGCCAGAAAACTACCTAATTGCAAAGGAGAATCTAAAAGCCTTCTGTTCTCTGTGGCCAGGAAATTGCATGTGTCCCAAGTAATAAATACATAAATAAGCTATCATTTTGCCTGCAAGTAGGATAGAAGCTCAGAAAAAGAACAGAAAGCAACATTAATCCACTAGATCCCCAATACTAATGGATAAAGTATATCATTTAAGTAGGCTTTTAAGCTATTTTCAGTTTCTTCAGTCTGGCCTCATTTTACCTTTCCAAGTCTCGCTTATGGAAAAGTGGATCGTTCACTGCCCTGGGAGCTGTGTTCTTTCATGCCTTTGTTCACACCATGTACCCTCCTGCAATGTCCTGCTCCCATCTCTACCTATCAAGGTTCTTCCTTAAAAACCTTCCACAACACTTTCTTGATCATTTCAACTAAAACTGAGCTTTCTTCTGAATTCCTACAGCACTTAATGTCTCTTAACCTTGTAGTAATGCAATTAAAAAACAAAAATTATTTCCCCCTTTTATAGTAGAGGCCAGCAACCATTTCAAGCCTCTGGGTCTTCTCTTTGCCTTGCCTCTGTAGCTACAACAT